ACCGCATGGTATAGAATATACAGCATGAGGACCGTCATCCCTATTCAAAGCATGATTACTCATATTTATATGCTACGCTTCTAGGCAAAGTCTTTGACCATAGCGATTGTTTGTGGTAATTACTTTAGAGTTTTCCCACGCAATCTCGTGTTTGGTGTAACATACATGTTCGGCTAAACCTGATTTGCCTTTTGATATTCTTTTAGCCGTGTACCAAACTGGCGTTTAGACTGACCCAAATACTCTTTCTCGCAGTCACCGCATGGTATAGAATATACAGCATGAGTTTTCTGATTTGTTTTAACAGGATCTTTTGGCTTTGCGAAAATATGGCCTAAAGTCAAATAGGGTTTTAAGGCAACCTTAATATTACAATTACTTAAGATTCTCTTGATTGGTTATGTGACACCTTGAATGTATGGAACTATTGCATAACCCTTAACAGAGGTATCACCCTCGGAGTTATTTTGGTTCCTACAGGCAATCATTAAGAAAACGTTTTGGGTAATCGTTTTCCCCTAAAATATTTAGAACATATTCACGTTCATTAGCTTGAGAATCACTGTTTGACGGCAAGGAAGCAAAGTTTTTGCTACGGATCTTTTATGTCTTACTGGGTGATGAGAGTCGTATGACAAGTATTTATCTGTGTGTGTGGGTTTGCGATAAACATCAGTCTCTAACTTCCCTTCGACAGTTCTGTGCACATTCAAATCTAAAAAAGCTAAATGTCCATTTATCTCACGTTCTACCGTGAATTGAATGGACGGCTCAATAGAATTTAAATGTTGCAGCAGAATATCGATTTCATTTCTAGAAACTGATGTTTATCGCAAACCCACACACATAGATAAATACTTGTCATACGACTCTCATCACCCAGTAAGCCATAAAAGATCCGTAGCAAAAACTTTGCTTCCTTGCCGTCAAACAGTGATTCTCAAGCTAATGAACGTGAATATGTTCTAAATATTTTAGGGGAAAACGATTACCCAAAACGTTTTCTTAATGATTGCCTGAGATAACCTGTTTGTAGGAACCAAAATAACTCCGAGGGTGATACCTCTGTTAAGGGTTATGCAATAGTTCCATACATTCAAGGTGTCACAGAAACAATCAAGAGAATCTTAAGTAATTGTAATATTAAGGTTGCCTTAAAACCCTATTTGACTTTAGGCCATATTTTCGCAAAGCCAAAAGATCCTGTTAAAACAAATCAGAAAACTCACTCATGCCGTATATTCTATACCATGCGGTGACTGCGAGAAAGAGTATTTGGGTCAGTCTAAACGCCAGTTTGGTACACGGCTAAAAGAACATCAAAAGGCTGTTTCAACTTTAGACAAGGGAAAATCAGCTTTAGCCGAACATGTATATTACACCAAACACGAGATTGCGTGGGAAAACTCTAAAGTAATTACCACAAACAATCGCTATGGTCAAAGACTTTGCCTAGAAGCGTGGCATATAAATATGAGTAATCTTTGAATAGGGATGACGGTGCCTATTTGCCAGAGGAATATATGCATCTCATTGGCAGGTGACGTCTCCCTTGGGTATTTAAGAAGCCACGATTGCAATTTTAGATCACCCCTGATGATGAAGACACTAGACTGGAGTGTCGAAACGTTGGGTCTTGATTACAATTCGACTGGGCTTTGTAATCATTTATTTAAACCAGAGTAGCGAGCGAAACATGATTGATATACCTGGTTGCAGTGACGAACAAACTTTAAATATTTAAGAGTATTTTTTTCTACCATTATGATATTATTATTTGCTGGGACATGGTGTAACTCGCAATTTGGCATTCAGTTGTAAGGAAAGATATTCAGCATCCCGTAAATCTTACCTTTAAGGTAGGCCGTTCAGACTTGGATCGCAACTCTGCTCTGTGGTCTGCATTTAAAGACAAGGCTTGTGACCTCCTAGAAGGGGACGACATTGAGATCAAAGTAGGACAAACGATAACGGAAGTTATGCTAATATGTGAAAATCTAGAAGGCACTCTGGCCGAGTTCTTCACCTTGAGGGAATCCATATTTGATTTCCAGTTTGATTTGGTTGATGCCCTCACAAACGTCATCCGAGGTAATGTTCAATGATATGTTTAGCTAAATTTACGTATATTAAGTATATTAAAGTGTGGGAAGATCCGTACTAGATTTCTAGGAAAAAAAAGGTTAGAAGTGATCGAGCTTGCAGTACACATCTATAAATAAGTTAAGGATCTGGGAATCCCGCGGAACATTTGCAAGAAGATTGAGAAACATCTTCAATTTTCCACACATACGTTATGAAAGATTAAGGAATCATGTCATGGTCATGTATTTTTAAGCACGAAATGACCATTACCGGATCATTACCGAGTCTCATATTTTATTCAGGAAATATCGCACAGAAGTTGGCATCTTCAATCAAAGGCAAGAACAAAGTTTTGGACGTGTACGACCTGATTCGCGGCTTCTTTATGAAACACTACCGCCTGCAATCAAATATCTACCTTTACTGTAATATACTACAGTATAAATACCACGGCAAACGAAACAAACTATGTCCAACGTCTGGCTTCTTCGATTATAACAAGCTAGACCGTCTGACAGAAATAAAAGATCCACAATATTATAAACAAGACCGTTATGTGTTCATTCCCACCAGTCCTGAACACCCCGGTGATAGTGGGTATATCAATCTTCCTTCATTAGCTGCTGGGAATCAGGTATGGATAATATAGCACCAAAATGGTGAAAGGTTTTTGATACGTTTGCATGGCATCAATACCATGCAGTTTGTTTTTGTGGAAAAGTGAAAAACTATCCAGCATCATGAAAGTTAGTTTAGTTTAAGACGATCATTATTAGAAGTTCTGAACTGGAAAAACTATTCAGTATTAGTTTAGGTTTGATCATATGGCAAAACTACCGAGTATAATTAAGGTTACCTAGTTTAGGTTTCGATCAGATTATTCCTATATATGTAGGTAGTTTTTGCATAAAATTTTCAGGACTGATAGTTTTTATTTTCTGCATTCACTTGAAAATGATGACTCGAAACGTCGTGGAATACAACTTTTATCAGAAAGAAAAAGGAAGTTGTTTATTCAAACTTAAAAGAAAGTTGTTTATTCAACAATACCACTAAACCAATAAAGAGACATACCTTATATACTGGACCTCTAGAGGGAACAGTTTAGATTACTGATAGAGCTAGTTATTCAATATATGAATGAAGTTAGTTTAGGTTTCTTCATCTACACTGGATCAATATGGGATAACCTCACTGGACATCTATGGTGGTTCAGAACTGATAGGGCAATCTGCTATAAAAAAAACTGGATCAGTAAGAGATGAGCGTACTAAATCTCTACGAGAAAACAGTTTAGAACTGATGGTTTAATTTCACTTGAACAAAATTTCTTCTTCATTTCAAGGTAACATTCCAACTGCCACGAAACCGTACGTGGTTAATGGAGAACAAATGGGTGGCGTATGATGAAGTCATCGCTCCATTTGTAAACAGCATCAAAATATATCTACCACTTGGAGATTATAAAGACGCCCAGAAACAACACACCCTTACGACCACAACCATAACCAACGATTTAGGTGAGGACAAATTCTACTGCCCTGCATTGCATTGTACTGCACTGCACGACAATGTATTACTAGTAACTTACGAATTATTTGATATTTTGATTATTATTTAGGAAGCTTCTCTCACCACAACAAAGATGTTCGCTATATTCTCCCCAGTAACAGAGGAAGTTACATTACAACATACGAGGAAGGCCACCGCAATTGTCCGGAGGAAGAGATGGCTGACCCATATGGCCTATGCGATAGAATACCTAAATTATGTGACAGTACTACCCAGGCTGTGACTCCTATACTGAGACCTACTATACTGTCTACTTGGAAACTCTCCTATTCCATTACTTCGGGGTCAAGGAGATTGAAATGGATCGCTCCCAAACCAGCTAGCAAACTTTACCTCATAGCAAAGGTATGTGCGTCGTAATGTTTCTCCGTGTTTACAATACAGTGTTTCCTGGTTTGTCCACCTTCAAGAAATATGGCTAGGAATATACAATTACTTTATGGTTTCCGTGTTTGGATGGCCTGATCCAAACACTTGGGAATGTTGCGAGAGTTAAGAAAACCGCGCGAAATCACGAGCCGAAGGCGAGTGATTTTGCGCGCTTTTCTTAACTCAACAACGCAAAGTCTTCCATGTTTGGATGGCCTGATCCAAACACGGGTTTCGACCAATCAGAGCACGCGTTATATACATGTTATTTTATAAACAACGTTTCCTGGTTTGCCCACCTTCTGGAAACATGGCTAGGAAACAATGCTTCTTGGTTTAATCACCTTCAGGAAACATGGCTAGGAAACAATGCTTCCTGGTTTGTCCACCTTCTGGAAACATGGCTAGGAAACAATGTTTCCTGGTTTGTCCACCTTCAGGAAACATGACTAGGAAACAATGTTTCCTGATTTGCCCACCTTCAGGAAACATGACTAGGAAACAATGTTTACTGATTTGTCCAGCTTCAGGAAACATGCATGGCTAGGAAACAATGTTTCCTGGTTTGCCCACCTTCAGGAAACATGGCTAGGAAACAATGCTTCCTGGTTTGTCCACCTTCAGGAAAACAATGCTTCCTGGTTTGTCCACCTTCAGGAAACATGGCTAGGAAACAATGTTTCCTGGTTTGTCCACCTTCAGAAAACATGGCTAGGAAACAATGTTTCGTGGTTTGTCCACCTAAGAACTATCTATGTAATCTTAAGACATAATATATGTAAAAATCTTTGTTGCAGGTATCACTGTTAATGACTCGTGTCGTGGCCCACGAGAAAAACATTACATGTAAATTTGAATATGACACTCGATCCCTCGGAGGGAACTACGCAGTCACGTGTTGTCGCGAGGGTAACCAACATTTTATAAGATGGAAAAATATCTGCGTCGACTGTCCCAAGAAATCAACCTCTCATTTAGGAGGGTATTATTGCGAGAGAAACGAATGAAACGAGTGAATTGTCATTATATACTGGATTATTTATTAAACATATACACGATTGTGATGTATTAAAATTAGTGTGGATAGGAGATGACTGCCTCAAATAATAAAATATAATTTATAAAATAAAATAACGATTTTGCTTGAAATGAAGTGTAATATCTTTTATACCCAAAGAAAATCTGTAAAAGGGTTTTGAAATATATATTGAATCTTTCCTGCAAATAAAGTTTATTTTTATTGCTATTTCACTTTAAAATGTACTAATATAACATTAATTTAAATATTAATTTATACATTTAAATGTTACTATTCTGAAAGACAATTATATCTAGGTGATCTCGTGTTCGTATTTTAGCCAATCAGCGCTCAGAAAGGGTTGTCCAAATAGAAATCCATTTTGATGTATTCAGTCAATTATATCTTTCATTATTCTTTATGAAACTAGTTGAAATTTTGTAATTATGTTTGGTTATGAGAACTATAGCTCTGACAAAAATATGGAAGCGAAATAAAGTATATTACAGGAGATATCCAGTTGTTTTAATCATAAAATGGATTTCTATTTGACAACTAGTGCCAGTACTTTTCCGCGTATCAAGATCACCTGGATTAGAGGACTGAGTTAATAAGAATAATTAAAAAATTATTGTCATTTTCAGTTAAGCTTTACCAGAGCCTTTTAACCGCGCAAAGGCCCTGGGTATGATGTTCGACGATTCTCTAATTCTTCTCCGATTAAATCATTAATTAAAATGGACTACGTTTTACCTTTAATTAACTTTATAGTCAGAAAGACAGATGGACTGAATTGCTCAGAATGATTGTCTAATTCTCTACTATAATAGTGTTCATTGAAAAGACATAATATCATTGTGAAAGAGCAGTGAATGACGCGATTGATATGACTGAAAGTGTTATTATGATAGCAAATTATATAGTAAGGTTTTTAATTAAGCTTAATTCTTCTATGTAATTTCATATTAATATCTCCTAATGAAGAAGGGCCCTTATTGCCATGAAGTGTAACGTTTATAGCTTGACACGGTTCGATGTTCATAACGACAGATCTAAGTGAAAAAGTTAAACGTTAGTACGTTACGCAGCATCTGATGAAAAACAAACACCTCTACATAAATTCATAATAAGAACATCATGCTTTGGCCCCTCGAGCAGAACTTAACCTAAAATTATCCCGAGTCATGCAAGTTCCCATGCGAAAGATGTAAAGTTTTCTTTACAGTGTTTGTAGAATGCGGAATTTGCAGAAAAATGCATTTTAGATTTCTTCTGACTAGCTTCGCCACAGAATACATGTGATTAATATAAGGCGTTCCTATCAAAGTGCTCTTTCAAATTGCTGTATTTTATAAAGAGAGACCGTTTATATAAGTTGTTCCTTTCTTGCTTATACTTTTTTCATGCTTCCACTGTAAATAATACATTAAATCGTTTATATTTTTCACTAGTCGTCTTGATAATTAACAACGGCTTGTCAATAAAAATGCCATTAGGCATTACATTAATTGAACTGTATATATTCACTTGATTTATTTTAGTATTATATACAGGCTAACTAGAATATAAGGATTTTGACAACGTTCAAAAATGGCCAGAGGGCCCCCTATACGTTTTGCGTGAAGCGCTTATTTTACTTAGCCGTGAAACGTGATTTTCTTAACTTCCGTGAACGTGAAGGAATTTTTTCAATTTTTCATGACTCGTGAAAAGGCAAATATTTTTACGTGAAAGCATATTGTGAAGAGGTATAGGGGGCCCTCTGGCCAGGGGCCGGGTTGTTCAAAGGTGGGTTAGCGCTCAGTTAAATCCTCGGTTAAAATTTAACCTGCTGTTTTAGTTTGTGTATTTCTGCACTTCTGATCATTTCAAAACTTCAGAAAAATACTCCTATCGATCCAGACAAGATTTGTGAAGAATCATTAGTCCAAAGTTGTAACCAAGCTTCCAGTGAAGTTTGCTTTGAATTTTATGTTAACCTGATCGCCTTTCGCGCGACCCCGGGAGCCTGGGCCCGGTTGTTCAAAAGCCGGTTAGCCTAACCCTGGGTTAACACAAATGTACGAATTAAAATTTCCAACGGCTCACAATTAAGTTGTACATGTTTTTCCAGAAATCCTTTCTGGTTCAATAGAGGTTTTCTTTTCTAAAGTTTTGAAACGAATGATCACGCAGAAATACATAAACAGCAGGTTAAATTTAACCCAGGGTTAGCGCTAATCGGGCTTTGAACAACCGGCCCAGTTGTTCAGAGCTGTATGGGTTAGCCTAACCCTATATAGGTTAACGTAAAATTCAAAGCAAACTTCCTGATAGCTTGTCTGTACATTTGGAAATATTTCTTCAGAGATCTTGTCCGGATCGATAGGAGTTTACTTCTCTGAAGTTTTGAAATAAACAGACGCGCAGAAGTATACAAACTAAGACAGCGATGTTAAATTTTAACCCATGCAGAGTTAGCGCTAACCCACCTTTCAACAACCGACAACATAGTCCTACCGCCTTGACAACATATATACATCGCTTAAAACGTTCCGTTTCAAACATTTCGACAAAACAAGGTGGAGTGAATATCGCGAGTACAATCATAATTGTACTTCAGCGTCGTTATGTAATCTCTTTCTCCTACACCCACACGTGATTAATCATTATCAACGCCCCCAAATTGTTACTGGGTTCACAAGGACTTTCCTTTGGCGTAAAATATTAATTGCAATACATGCACTTCTTAAACTTCCTCCGCCAGGAAACTGGACTATACAAGAATGACAAAAACTTCACAAAATATTCGGGCGACATTTATCAATGAAGCCCCAAAGAGCGAAAAAAAATCTTTGAATCATAATTGTGCTTCATGCTTTTGTTTAAAAGGCGCATCACCATGGACGATATTTCATTAGCGATATACTCTTAGATTATTTCTTGTTTCAATTTCATGCTATTTGGCGAGTTTTCAAACAAAGACCTTAAATTGCACTCGACCTTCAACTTCACATACGAACAATTTTTTCAGACGTGCTAAAATTAAAAAGCAGTTCGCATATGCAATTCAAGTTTGTTCCAACTTGCAAGCAATGACTGAAAACATGATATTACTTACACTGACTTACTTAAATAACGTAAATTAAACTAGCACTCTATTTATGTTCTTCCCAGAGGTGTAATGAATGCCATTCCTAATTGATCCAGTGTTTATGCTATGGAAGGAAATCTGAACTAAACTATACTTCATTTATACTAGTCTGCGAAAGCAGACTGTATCTCGTTTAGCTCTATAATCATTAAGATTCATTAAGAATCATCTCTTAGTGATCCAGTGTTACTGCAGGAGGAAACCTAAACTAAACTAACTTTATTTACACTGAATAGCTCTATCAGTTCTTTACTGTTCTCCCTAGAGGTCCAGTAAGGATCCAGTGTTACTACAGGAGGAAACCTAAACTAAACTAACTTTATTTATATCAGTTGGAGGGTTGTATCAGTTCTAAACTGTTCTACCTAGAGACCCA